AGAATTAGGAGGGGAGTGTGGAGAGTTCGAAGTAGGAGGAAGCAAACTCTCGTGGGTGGAGAGTCGTATTAGAGAGTGAAATTTGAGTGGGATCTGAGATTGAAGTGTAACATCTGTGAATGGGATCTGAGATCAGAGTGGAAGATCTGAGAATGGGAGCTGAGAGTGAAGTGAAATCAGAGACTGAGATCTGACAGTCGGAATCTGAATTTGACACTGAAAAGGCAAAGTTGAATCTGAGAGAGGAATCTGGTGGGGTCTGAAGGTGGAAGCTGAGAAATCGACACTGAGGTCTGAGTAGGAATTGGGAGTGGGACTGGGATCTAGGATAGACCACAGCGGCTGTGGTGTTGAAACAGTCACCCAGAGTTGAGTTAGATCTTTATGTAACAAAGAGTTTGTCTGCTGCCCTTGTGGAGATAGCAGACAGCAAGTTATCATTTTCCGTTCTGGATAAATTGTCTGTGAACGAGCAAGTGTTTATGATCTCGTTGTCTTGGATACACTTTGAGCACATGGCTTGTAATCAGAGAAGTTAGATTATGGGAGTTCGAACCCCCACCCGGACTACAAACGCTGAAGGGTGGGAAGGTTTGGCTCACAGACTCAAGTTAGAAAATTAGCAAATGGTAAATCGGAGGATTTGAATGGTCTCTCTATTGGACTTTTGAAGTGGGGAGGAGATGTTATTGGACCAAGACTCACCAAAGCGTTAGAGAATGCAGCTATGTATGGTTTTCCTTCAGCTTGGTCATTACGGAAGATTGTGCATATTCACAAGTCAGGAAGGAAGTACTTGGTGACAAACTATCGCACTATCATGGTGGGTAGTGTTTTTGCCAAGTTGTTTGGCAAATTGGTGGAGTCAAAGTTGAGCACATGGACTGAATCTCATCGAAAGAGAGCGCGGTTTCAAGCAGGCTTTCGCCCCACATACAACACCATTGACCATATCTTGGCTTTGCGTGTTTTATGGGAGAAGTCGAAGGGCAACGGCAAAGCTTTGTTTTGCGCCTTCATTGATTTTAAGAAAGCTTTTGACACCGTACCTCGTGAGCTATTATGAGAAAGGCTGCAAGTCATTGGAGTACCATCAGATCTTCTAGCAGCTGTGGCCACGCTTTACCAATCTGTTCGAGCCAAGATCAACACTTCTCAAACTGAAGAGATTTTGAGTACCATTGGAGTGATTCAAGGTTGTCCTCTCTCTCCTACTCTATTTGGAGTTTTTATAGATGATATCGAAGAGTGGTTGGAGGCATGTGATAGTGAAGGTGTCAAGCTTGGAAACTTTGTTATCAAAGCTCTCTTGTATGCAGATGATATCATATTACTAGCACGTGATGCAATTAGTTTACAGAAACACCTATACACTTTGGCAAGCTTTTGTACCCATAATGAAGGAAAATATAGAGAAGTCCAAAGTCATGATAGTGAGCACTCGATCCAAGTTTTCCTTCTATTACCAGGATCTACAATTAGAAGAGGTGAAGAGTTATAAATATCTAGGCATTGATTTTTCTAATGATTATAGTTGGGCACTTTGTGTGCAAAAGAGAGTAGAAGGTGGTTACAAAGCTCTATATTCATTGCTAATTCAGTGTAGAAGAGCTCATCTTGTGTCTTGGAGTCTTAGGAAATTTTTTTTCAGAAGCTTAGTGTTGCCGGTAGTATTGTATGGAACCCAAGTGTGGGGTCCTAGTTGTAAGAAGACAGGTTGGGAGCGTGTAGAGAGGGTGCAAAAGATATTTCTACAAGAAGAATTGGGTGTGAGAAACCAAACCTCATATGCTATTCTTCTTGCGGAAACATGTTGTTTACCTCTAGAGGCTGAAGCTCTATACTTGACCATCACTTACATCACAAGGGTGAGATCTCTTGATGCTTCTCGCCTTCCTCCTCAGGCTTTGAGTGCCACACGTGCCAAAGGATGGTTAGCGGATGTGATAACTTGATCTTTAAGGTGGAATGTGACGGAACGCGATTGGGACCTACAACCTATAGCACTACGTGAACGTCTAAAGGAGAAATTTCTAAACATTAATTGGAGCAAGCGCGGCAACAAGATGCAGTTTTATCAACTTCATGTGAATCCTATGCTTGTTTATTGTGATCAAGATTACATACTTGCAGGAATCTCTACGTACTTACGTCATATTATTGCTAGGCATAGAACTGGATCTCATAGGCTTGGAATTGAGGAAGGACGTTGGCTTAATATTGATAGGAGTGAACGTATCTGTAGGCTATGTGATGGAAGAGAAGTTGAGGATGAAGAGCATGTATTTCTTACTTAACTAGATATGCAGATATTAGAGTGACTCATAATATAGATGTAGAGAATTTTTATTCTTTGTTACAGTGAGTTCCTTTTGATTTAGGTTGTTATATTAGGAACATTATTAGTTACCGTTCTAGTGCTCTTGGCACTAGCTAGGGTTTGGCCTTTGGGATCTTTTCCCTTGTTTGTGGCTGTCGCTTGTATTGTGTTTTTCAACCTTTTGACCCTTTCGGTCCCCCGGGTTTGATCTATTACCATTTACCATTACAACATGTTAAGCTTTCATAGTCTCCCATAGAAGTCAGCAAAGAATGAAAATGTACGTTAAACAAATCTTAGTGCAAGAAAGTCGCCAAAATTAAAATCTCTAGAAGAATAAATTTGAGACTTTGTCATCCTTATCTTTTCATGTTGAAGTTGAAAAAAATATTTTGATTTGAAGTTTAATGAACTATTCTCAAATAAAGGAAAAGATAGACAAAAAATTTGATAGGTAGGGAAAATTGCTCCAATTATTCGAGTTTAGTCTATTTGGAATGATGACAATTATGCCTTCATCTTTATTCATTATATTTAAAATATGTGTTATCTTGAAAAATATTGCAAATTCAAAATACTTGAAGATTACACATTGAGTAGATATCGAATTAATCTTGTAAGTATTTGTGGATGACAAACTTGAAACCATTCAAACTTGTAACCTGTTCACAAATCAACACGTTGAGTCACTCCTGTGCGCCCTATTCATCATTTCGTTTCTTTACGGTCAGATTGCGGAGTGAATGAACTGACTTCAAATGAAGGTGATAGTGTGACTGAACACTCGACCTGCAAAACAAATCATAACTTCAAAGTAGACAAGGCTGTGAAATATCTCTTCAATTCAATTAAATCGAAACTCAACAAAAAGGTGAAATATCTCTTCAATGTACTCAATTCTGATTGAGTACATTGAATTTGTCATAGTTGTAATGAACTGCATACCAATTAAGGTGTAGATTTCAACTTATTTCAGATTCCAAAGTATAACACAACACAAGAAGGATTCTAAATGTAGAATACACAAGTTTCTTTGGCTTGTATAGACCTAACAATAAAAAAATCTCTACTTTCAGATCCTACAATTATAAAGCTATCATAATAATGCAGGATTTGTTTCGAGTGTCACCTCACTTTCTAATGTCTTCTCTGCCTCTCTTTATTTTAAAATATATATTTTCCTTTGCTCTATTTATTCTAATCGCGGTGAATATCATCATCCGACCTTTTTTTTAAGGAAAGGCTATGATTAGATAGCATGGTTTGATTTCATTTTAGATTCATTTTAAGCTATTAATAATATGAAAAAAATCATTGTTTCAATTTCTTGAAATTTAAATAATATAAGAAGCAGCAACTATTTAAAATTATTAAAAGACTATTAAAAGATCTAAATAAGAAGCAGCAATTATTAAAAGATCTAATTTAAGGTGCCTTAAATTAGATCTTTTACTGTATTGATTAGAAAATTTCTTTATTAAATATTTCCAAATCTATAAAATATAACACATGCATCAAATATGCTTTAAATGAATATTATATAAAATCATGTTATAAAGGTTTTCCAAATCTTAAGTGTTATTTAAACACCTTTTTGGTACTAAAAAAATTTAGCTATTCCAACTCAACGTCATTTGAAGATTTTTAAAAAACATATCTTTCTTGTGTCAAGGTTACATTGATGATTTCAATTTATAATATTTTCTATACTTTAACGCTGGATTCTAATGCAAGATCAAATTATTGATCTCAACATCTTGATTAGAATTAAGAAATTTATAATAGAATGCAATGGTTTCAAACTCTCATCTGATTTATTAACTTTATGAGTAATAAATGCCTAAAAAGTGATCATTTCAGTTAAAAATTTATTTTTTTTTAAAAAAAAATACAATATGTCAGTAGAAATATTGGAAATTGAGTAAAAAAGTAAGATTAAAATATTTCTATAAATAAAGAGTAAATTTAAAAGTATATTTAAAATAATTAATTTCTTATTGAATCAAGATATATTTTCATTCATCAAAATATTAAATTTTAAGGTATATCTATATTTCATACAATTTAATTTAAATGATTGTTCTCGCCAAACATAAGAAAAATATTCATATTTATGAACCAAGATAAACTATTCTTGCAAATTCATGAATGTTTTGAATTATAATATGGAAACGACATGTGTATCATAAATTGGGATTTTTCATGAAATGTTACAAGTTGTTCAATACATGGGAATGTTTTTCAAATCGACCATATGATTTATTTCATTTTGATTATAAACAACATTCAATTAGTAAGATTTGACATTATAATATCTAAAACTGTATAGTCACATATTATTTCAGCTAGTTTGAAAATTTAGTAATTTTTTTACGTAATGCCATTAATAATAGAACACAAATCTGAAACTTAACGAAAATTGTAATTCAATAAAATTCTAAATTTTGATTTGCAATCTAAATATTCACAAGAATTTCGTTGAGTTTTACAATGCAAATGTCTTGACGATTTCCGCGCAAGAGCGGTGGCGGAGATGGAGGTGGAAGACCTTTCTTAGAAGGTGAAATTAGAAAAATAATGAAATAATTCAACTTACATAATGTAATAAATCGTGGCACACTTGGAATGGAAAGAGTTTGCTGGAAGAAAATCAACTGGAATATTATTATACACAACACTTTTAAGGAATAATAATCTTTAAACGAATACAACACAATACCACTGAGTAAAATCTCAGACTTCTTTCCGAAAGCATTTTCATCGCAATTCACGGTAATGGGCATGTTCTAATTTAGAGAGCCCCTCTCTCTGGGAGAGCCGAGGAGAAAATTCCTGAGTGCAATACTTTTCTTCACATCGAAGAACTGGGACCTTCTATTCGACGTCCCCTTGCTTCAGGATTTTGTACAACAGGAATGGTCTCATCGATCGCACCCGACATGGAGGCTTAAGTACTATGTACTCTATACAAACTTTGCGTTCCATCTGCGAAATGAACACTCTCCATCGCCGCCGGACGTAAAGCAAAAAAATCATCCACTGCGTGATAGAATGAACGTTCTCGAGGAGTGACAAGAACTCCGGCGACCCGTCGGCCCGAAGCAATTAAACATCAACATACATCAGTCTCGGGGCTGTTCTGGACCTCGGCGGCTCCCAGTCCAGGCTGCACGCAGTAAGGGCAGCGAGAGGATTGGCGCCTGTAAGGGCAGAAAGGACACCTGCCAGCTGCCGCGGCCGTCGTACCGGGAGAAGCCTGGCGCAGTGGCCGGTCACCGGTGCCGTCGACCGGCTTGCTCGAAGACTCGCCGACGGCGTCGTTGGCCTCGGTGGGCTCGGAGGTGGCAGACGCCATGTGCGACCGATGCTCGAAGCTCATGCTGTGCTGATGGACGAGCTGCAGATGGAGCCGGCCTGGCTCTCGGTCACGGCTCTGCTGGACGATTGCCTCGTTGAGTCGTGCCGTCTCGGCTCGGAGCAAAACGATTTCCTGCCTCAGCAAGTGGAGCTCGACCTGAGCGTAATCCAGAGCGTGCATGTGCATCAGCAGCTGCTCGTGCATTTGACTCTGTTCCTGCCCCGCGTCTTTGTAATATTTGATTGTCTCCTGCAGCTGGAAATGCTCTTTCTCCATCAACTGCTCGTACTGCTCCTTCTCGCGCAGCGCCATCTGCTGTTTCATCAGCTCCTTTATGTTGCACTTCCGCCTCCAGTCTTTGGGCCCCATGCTCATCTCATCTTCCAGAGGTTTCGACTGCTGCTTGCAGCCATTGCGTGCTGCTCGAGAACCTTCCGCCTTCTGAGTGTCCCAAGTGTCAGCACCCAATCCCAGAGTCAGTTTTGTCGACACCTTCACGGCAGCTCGACCTCTCTGCATGTTTGCGACTCCTCTCTTGATCTCAAAGACGAAGAACGAGTTCGGAGGGTGATCGTCGCTGTGCATTTGGACTCAGATCGCAGTCTCACGTCTACGAATCGTTGAATGATATCCCTGCGCCCCCCTCTCAACTGCAATGGATCATGGTGCGGAGATGAACTCTGATGCACAACTCTTCTAGAAGTCTCGAGCTCGAAGTTCATAATGGTGTCCATGGATCTCTCTTTCAGACCCAGGGGAGTAGGAGGCAGGAAGACATTCTCACCGTCCAGATCATGTCTGCCACAGGCAGAAATTGTGGTGCCGATCATCCGAGTATAAAAAGCTCTGTTCATCGTTCGCTTTCAAACCTCCTCAAGTAGAAAGTCGGTCCAGATCATGGAAATATATCGCATGCAAAGGCATCTCGATAGGAACCATCCTGCCCACATGCATTGACAATAATCTTTGCGGTCGAGGGAGGTCGAGGTAGAAAAACGTCAGCTTCATGAGATAGATATAATAGTAGAGCTGGTGGACCAAATATAAGGTGGAGGTCGTTGCCTGCGAACTACCAAATGATTTCAACAAGCACCATACTGTGATGTGGTGATGCTCCAGTCAGCGACTAGCGTAAACGACCATGGTGTACCATTGGCTAGAAAAGGCTCGACCTCTGGTTGAGACCAGTCACAGTGTTCAATACGCCACGTTTCCAGATTAAATTTCAGCAGATGCCCGATCAGACTAGTCTATTCTTCATCGACGTCTCCTGCTCACTGAGAAAGCTGCTGAACCGCCTGAAGGTAATCTCAACAACCTCTTCGATGTGATAGCGCCTGATTTCCCATATCTGAGTGGAGAACTTAGTGGAAGAGAACGACATTGACATGCATTCACAGCTGTCCGTAGTCGTTTGTTCAGAACATCGTTACCATCTTATTTTGATGATGTTTTGGTTCAAACATTGTTAACTCAGCATATACATGTTCCTATGAAACTGACAGGTATAGAATTTCATTCGGCGGCCAGCAATATTTGAAACTGTTGCCAAATATCGAATATTAATCACTGTCATTAACAAAGTAGTCATGAGCGATACAATTATACGATCAAATGTATAAATGAAAATGAGAGGAATAACTTTGGCAAGTAAATGTCTAAAATCTTGCCGAAATTCGTATATATGTCACTGTGACGAATAGAATTTTCAAAAGGTGATTTCATTTGATGAATCGATGGAGTGTAAATACACTCATGTTCAGTATAATCCGTGAATGATTTACGTTTTGTTGACGTTGCAGTAAGTTCATTTGGTCAGTTCGTATACCATTACAGTATAATTTTCACTTCGTTTTGCAAGTATTTGGTATCGCGAACTCGTATTACTCAGCATCGCAGTGCTTCCAGGCTGTGGTGTTTTGCATCGCAAGTATGAGTAATGCATGTCCTCATTTCGGGTTTCCGTGCCATTTCAAAACCTCATCAAGAGGATAGAAACCAGGTCGATAGATAAAATCGCTTACTTTTAACGCGGAAACCAAGACAACGAGCAAGGGTAGATTCACAATTATAACAGACGAAAGAAAATTCAACTTTCTGGGGTGATTTCTGAAGACAGATTAATAGAGAGAGGCAGCAAGGAGGGCAAGGGTAGAGAAAATCCAGAGTGGCACAAGGTTCAGAATCGACGGAAAAATAAGGTATGTTCATGCACATCATACCCCTTCGATGATCCTAAACTCAATGTGTACTCAATGCGAATGATGATTTTCCACTGCTTCGCTGGAACACTCGTTGTTTGACTGGAAAATAATTGGAATTACTTGATTAAGTGGGCGAATCCAAAAACACATTATAGCTCCCTCTTAAGATTTTGTTTATTAACTATTCAAATTTTTATTTCCTGCGTGGAGAAATTTCGTGTTAGATTACTCAGAGTTCGAGTCTTTCTGGTTTGAATAGGTCGCTTCATTATTTCTTGCCGTTTCTGTTCATCTACTTCTAATCAAACCTGTGCACTGCAGAAGACGAGTAGATATAGGTTGAGGAATATTAGCATCTTGTGATATATTAGTGTACTTGCCGATAAGGCAAGAAAATGCATGTAAGGATGGAGCATACATAATTTAGTGAGTTCATAGGTCTGACAACTCTAGAAGTGTAGAAAAGCTTTACAAACAATTGTATTACAGTTGTCTTCTCTCTTTGTGAGTAATTTTACTGTTTATCTGTAAAGTAAATTCTTCATCTTTTTCCTTTCCCAAAAAACTCCTCACTTGCAAAGAACATTTCCTAAATTTTCAAAATGCATTTAAAAATTGCAATTTGAGTTAATACTACTAGTAAATTTATTTTTTTGCCTCTTCGTTGATTTGACTATTTTGACACTTTATATCTTCAGCTCTTGGACTGTAGCACTTCCGCTTTTGCGCTATGGCTGTTTTGGGAATTTTATTTTTAGGCACTTCACCTTTTCTCCATCTACACTCAAATTTGTTTTGAGGATTCAAAGCTTTGACCATTATCAAGCGTTGTAACTTTGGCACATCCATTCTTTGAAAATCTGTCTTAGCCAAGTGATAAATTGAATGGTTCTACGACCAGCCGTGTTACTACTGACAAATGTTAATAACATGTTTACTGGTAATGAATGTCATTTACCAGTTCTCCGCGGCCGGGTCGGGTCTAGTCGGGTGAATAAAAGATCACCCCACCCTCAGAACCCGTCATTCGACGGTGGCACGATCCTCCTCCAACGAAGGGTTCTCCAAACTCGGAAACCAGCGTCACAGCGACCGGGAGGTCGAGCAAAGAGCTCTCGGGTAAATGAATCGAGGACCGCAGCAGCGCTGCCAGGGGGACTCTGGCATTCATTACATCATCAACGTAAATATAAGAATGGGTGTATGTAGAGTTGGAATGGAAGGTAACATTTTTTGTAACTTGATGGAAGATTTATAGGATGAAAAAAATAATAGTCTAGAAATAATTCATTGTTGATGTTTTTGTGTTATTCAATGATATATTTTTCATTCCCTTACGTCAAATAATAACAAGTGTGGATGTATTTTTTCTAAGATTTATTACAAATGAAATGTGAATTTACATGTTTTATGGCTTTACTTGAAAACTTAGTAAATCTTCAATTCACACCACGATACATGCTAATAAAATCTTCTTCCCTTAAACTTTAAAGTAGCATAGAATTTCACACTATATTCCTTGAAGGTTCGTCTTTTTAGAATTCGGAATTTAAGAACAGGAATTTTTTTCCATGTGTTTGCACCTACAACTCAATATTTATGAAGAAAATGAAAAATACTTTCCAATGCTGTCTATAATATATATATGTATAATCTCATGAGGAACAGAAATTGGAGATGGTTCAAAATATGTCGTGAACCTGTAATGATATTGAATTAAGAAAAAAGCTGTACCATCATTGTTATGTCCGGTTTCCTTCATCCTTTTACTGAGGAACAATCATTATCGAACTTTGATAGATAGCAATAGAAAAATTGAATCCCATATGTCGAACCACGAGGTCTGGAAGTATATAACTTATCATCACCAAATAGCGGCAGTAATTAGCTCAACAAAACGGACATTAATCATTCTCGACACACTGATCTTCGAAACTTACTTCCTCATCGCCTCATCATAATCCCACCTCGAGAGTACGTTCGCATGAATGAAACTCAAAGGGCAAGCGGTAGAGCATGTCGGTTTTCAGTGCTACAAAAGTGACAATGTTACAGTGTAGCTTTACTGACGATAGATACAGTTGATAACATTGTTTAGAGAGAATAAAATTTGATCCTTGGAATCTAGTCAAAGGAGGCAGAAAAAAAATTCCAAACGGGACAGAAGTGGGTTGCCTTATTGATGAGATTTGAAAGATAATCCATTTGCAGACTTTTAAGCTCTGAACTGATCATGAGCTTTGTCAGCACACAACATTAAATATGTGATCTGTTTTGAAAGACAAACGAGAAGCCTGGTTCATCAGTCAGCACAGAGTCTTCTCTCCTTATTTCGTTTTCATCTCATCCCATCCTTTCCCTGCCCTGTTGGATCTCGAAAGTTTCTGAGAGCACTCCCTGTAAATGCTCCATAAAATTTTGCTTGATTTTCAGCTAGTATTCTTATCTGTGCACTTTCATCCTGAGTACGTTCTGAGTTCGTAAGCTGATTTCTGAGTGAATGCAAGGTCTATTCTCCCTTTTCTCAACAGGGGACCTCAGCATCAGTACCCTCTATTCATTCTCGGTGATATCTTAGTTTCACATTCGGAGTGTCAGTTTCGTCATCCTTTTAAACCTTACCTCTCGTGATTTGATCATACCTTGAATTGATTGGATGTATTATGCATACCATGTTCTTCATACTATGTTGATCGACTTTGTACTGAGACAAAGTCTTATGGTGTGCTATCGTGTTGTGCAGAAAACGAGGGAGCTAAAATCGTAGAGGAATTTCAGCTGCATGGGAGCTAGCATTCACGCGACTGCCATGAACACGTCAAGTCCTGATCTGATGCGAAAAAAAAAAAGACGAAGTATTCGTTCGAAGAGAAGTTGTCTTCATCTTTCATCCAACAAAGCACGAGAATTTTCTCCTGTAAGATAACCTGCTACTCTTACTCACCCCTGAATACAAACAAACAAGTAGGCTAGAATGATGAAGCAATTTCATCCCCGGCTGCAAGTGCCGTCACGTGCAACTCCCAGCTGTTCTCTGATCATGTTTCTGCTCTCCAGTGACTGGCCATCGACTCCCACAAGCGACCCATCAACCGACGGAAGACGACGAAGATAGAATGGTTCATCACATATATATTGCGTGATTCTTCGGTCCTCTTCACACTCCATTCAACGAGAGCGCAAAGATCAGAAGGGACTTCGTTCTAAAAACAACCAATCTGATCACAATCGTGTGATCAGATATCAGCATTCAAGAGCACACTTCTGATGTGATCGAGACGGCTGGTTTAACGCGCAACAACCTGGATCTGAAGTTGTCCATTTATGACGCCCGGCAAACCTTTCGGTGTGGACTCAGATCTTCCTCTCGGGTTTGAAAAGCGTGTATATATGCCATCTCGCGTCCGGGACCCGCTAGGCCTCCTCTCCAGTGGAACGCCATACTACGACTGCCTGCTGTCTGCTCGGCAAATGCCGAGGGAGGTCAAAAGAACTCCATCAGCTCTTGGCTTTCACTCATTTCATTGCTTCTCGATCTGGCTGTCTGTGCATGCCTCTCAAGGCTCTGAGGCGGGTAGACGATGTGGAGTTCTCAGATGCAGCAGCGAACTGAGGGTGTTTCTACGGAGCTGAGCCTGAGGTCGGGCGCGGAGGAGGGTGCTACGAAACATGATCAGCAGACCTCTGCGGTCCTCCCGCATGGTCCCACCGCATATTCCTTCGTCCGCCACTCGCAGCAGCCGCAGCAGCTGGTGCCTGTAGAATCCCCAGATGCTCCTCCTCTCGACGGCGGCATGAAGTGGGATAGGATCCAGACCACCGTGATCGCCAAACCTCCCAGACACTCAGCGTCTCAGCGGCTCGCTCTGAAAGAGCAAGTTCTGAGGGCTTTCGACGAAGCCGAGGATCAGTTGGAGCTCAACAAACGGATGGTCAAGTCACTGAACGATGCTCACAATCAATACCAGCGACTGAAAAAGATATTTCGGAAGGGAGAGGAGAGGTGGATGATGGAAGCGCGCACCTTCCAGAAACGTGAGCTGGAATGGCAAGCCAAATTTTCCTTCCTTGAAAAGCGAGAACAGGAATTGCAGCACCAGCTGAGTATCAATCAGAAGGTGTTGAAGGCCCTTCGGATGCACGAGGCTTTCGCCTTCACCAAGACCGATGCTCAGATCGGAGCGACTTTGGGCAATGCCGGTTCAAACTGCCCCCAATGCACCTGTCCTCATTGTAAGAAATCGATTCATGATGTGGTCGACCTGTCGGATTCTGAAGAAGACGCTGCCAAGCGTAGTGAGAAACCTCGAATCTCCTGAGACTTCTTTTCCTCCCATCAAACAGGTGGGCATGTATCATTTTGCTAGACATTCCTTTTAGAAAGAAAGTAATTCACTTTGAATAGTGTCCAGGCTCAGAGATTACTCAGTTTTTAGTCTGAAGTTGAATTCATTGTGAGTAATGTGAAGTTGACATCTCACTGGGGTTCCAGAAGAGATGCATGTTATTTGGTACCTTTCCAATCAATCGTCACTCTAAAGCAGTAAATCAAAGTTCTATCTTACATGTTATATTATCTATATATGTTGGAGTGAAAGCGTCCCATATCGAAATCAGCCCTTCAAATATCTCATTATACAAGAGTAATGACATGTATGGAGTTCACAATTGCAAGTTAAATCGCTCTGGTATTCCGATATTGAAATTTTAGGTACACTCTTCCATATTGAAGTAGGCTGCATTATGCTGTACGAAGCACCTGAAGGAACAGTCACTGCCATTTTCTTCGTGCACATCATGATTCGTATCAAGTCATTGGATCGCAGGATTTCAAGGGATTTGTAAAGTGGTGCTAAAGCATCTACAAAGAGGTAAGGTGAAAAACTGGGTTGCCTCCGTGCCGAAAACGAGAAGAATAGCGTTACAAGATAATAAATAGGGTGTTGTCTTCAATTCTTCATTATGATCACCAGGAAGCTGAATCAGGCACATTGGAAGAAATGAGAAGAGTGTATTGCAATTGGTTTCTTGCTCTGGCAACACCCACCATGCAGATCTTGTGAGACCTGACGAATCTTGTGGATCCTCAGCAGCGTAGTAATTTTCCGTCTTTCTCAGAAAAGAGTTTCTGAAACGTATGGCCTGCCACTGTTTGGAAACAATCGTATTAAGAAGAACATTTTTCCACTTTGGGAAGATCTTTCTACTCATCTTCTAGAGTATTACTAAGGTATTCATTCTCAATATTTGGAAGCCTCAGATCTGTCTGCTCACTATTTTCAAGGAACATTATACAGCTATCATGCAAAGAAAATTTGATTGAGGTTTACTCCTTCATCTGTTTACTTTCTATTTTTCTAAAGGACTATTCTAACTATCAAAATAACGTTTCCATGCTTTGAACCTGGGAGTTCCAGATATGGTCAATCGACGGTACGTTCTGTTCGAGAGCACTATACATAATGTTGACAGAAACCTAAACCCTGAGCCCTCTCGATTATTTCGATTCCAACAGTAAATAGGTTAATAACGTGAAGCCATAGTATGGTGGTGTCTATGGTTGTTACAAAGAATAAATATTTTTTCTGTTCTCTACTTCATAGTCTTTGTTTCTACGAAGCATAGATCGCAATAGGACATTATCCATCATTTCATCACTCAAGTAATTACATGTATCAACTCCAACTCTTCAGCTATATTTACTACTGCCAACTTTGTATAGTCTTCAACATCTCCACCTCTGCCTTTTGGGCCACTATTATACACTCCAATATCCTTTCCTTCAATCCATACTTCTCAACAAGCGACCAATAAGAAGTACCTTGCTCTACATCCAAAATGCACAAGTTGGACGTCCACTTAAAATGTGATGTAATTCTTATGAAAAAAATCTTATTGGTCGCTTGTTGAGAAGTATGGATTGAAGGACGGGATAGTGGAGTGTATAATAGTGGCCCAAAAGGCAGACGTGGAGATGTTGAAGACATATACAAAGTTGGCAGTAGTAAATATAGGTGAAAAGTTGGAGATGATACATGTAATTACTCATGTTTCAGATACAAACAGAGTTAAAGGTATGGCAATAGTAATATATCCATATAACTGAAAAATAATCATACTTAGAGAAATTGCTTTAGTGAATATAGTCACAGAGATGGCAAGGTAAATAAATTTGCAAAGGTGGCCAGAATAAGCGTAAAATTTAAGTTTGACAGTTGATCGGTCGAGGATTTGAAGGTCGTATGTCAAACTCAGTAGCTAGAGACCGTTTATAGTACTCACAGAAATTGCCAGAAATAAACAAATTGACAACTGTAATTAGGTAATGCTATCAATTCATGGTGTAATTAGGTATGATGCGTTTGAAACTAATGAGGGCCTAAGAAAAGGCATATTCAGTAAGCTCTTCGTACTGTGAATGTAAACAGTTGTAATAACTGTTTACATTCACAAGTAGTATGAACGGTGGTAATCCTCATCTTTTAATGAAGATTACCACTATTTTCATCACTTCTCATCCTTTTGGAAACCAGACCTAAATTCACTATATTTTAAATCACTTTGTGAGATTTGGTTCTTACAAGTAGTGGTATAAACTACGTAAAATTATTACCACCCTCCGTCATGCATTAAATGGAAATATGAAATCTTGAATGAACATTTTAATGCACAGAAATTTGTATCTCGAGAAGCGATCGTTTTGATCCCAAAAAGAGCTCATGAAAAGATGATGATTCTGTCCATTCATCCTTAGGTGCATAATTGACAATGCAAGTCATTTCCCTATCTGAGCTGAATTCGAGAAGGGTAACAACAAAGTACCTAATGATGATGGACACCCAGGGTGGAAAATACAAAGCAGCTTATCTAAACAACATCATACCAATAAAGTAAAGACAAGATGCAGCTAATCTATATTGGTGGCAAAATTTCATCTTCAACAGGACTTCGATAGCCAACAAGTCTATGGTCACTATGCAAGTCGAGTGTTTCCTGCCAATGCATATATTCCTTTGCATATGCTCCCAATCCGAATACAGTCCTAGAATTTGATTTTGCTTATATGCCTAGAGTTTGGCAGTGAACAAGCTTCTACGCATAGAAGCAAAATAAATGTCGGGGCCAAATACACTATCGAGCGTCAAAGGCCGAAAGATCTTTAACAAGAAAGATGGATGTACACTATCTGACAGTTTACAAGAAGTGAAAATTCTTCTGGCGATTTTATTTTTTCTAGTAATTACTCAATATGCAAGTTATAGGAAGTGATAATTCTGACAGATTTAAATAGGTAAAATAAAAATGATTAGTTACGGGACAATTTCATTGAGATTTTTTCCGAATCAAGTCAATCGGAAAAAAAATAAAATCTGAGAATTCGCCCTTCCTATGATAAGTAAACTAAAATTCCCTTTATACCATTGTAAGTTTCTGAGTGAAAATATAGAGTAGGGTTCCTGCATACAAGTTATCATATTGCTAAACCTATTATCTTTCATTGCATGATCACAAAAACGAATCTAGATTTATCAAAATTTTAGAAAAGCTTATGTTTAAGTCGTTGAAGAAAAAAACTAATTAATAAATTTAAGTCCTCAAATTTTGGATTTTCTGTAGGTTTGGTAAAAGAAAATCTGAGTTTGCTCGCGAAGATTTTGATATTTTTTCATTGCCAGGATGATGAAGCAGGTTCAATCTCTTCGACTGCTCTCCGATTTTCTCAGTGGTAGTAATCACCTCATCTTGATATGTACCGATAAAATAGATTTGTAAGAGCAGACTCAGCTCAATTTTATTTAAAAAGAAATAACGTATCCAGAACATATGACTGTTATTATAAAAACGAAAAAGGGGAGCTTGCAACTATTTCTTTGACATGAAAACCAACCAACACGTTCATATGAACATTTCACATGTGAGAGCTGCAGCTGCCGTCTTCAACAAATCCCCAGTTCGAACTAACGAGGCGTTAACTTCAGTAAACAACTACCTTACTCTGCATCAGTTGTCCACCTATTACGTATAGGTGGAAAACTACGTAAAGGACTGTATGAATATTGTCCAATCTAAATAAAGAAATACACGTGTCCACGATAAGTTTGGGATGGTCATGGTGCATAGACCCTACCAGGTTAGATCAGAAGTCGATATTTCCCCTTATGTTCAGGTGAAGCAATATGTTCAGGTGAAGCAAGGACCTCCAGAATTCTAATTTCTGGTATGAACCGCAGACTGTCGAAATAACCTATGAAATCCAGGTCTTCAATGGTAGCATCCATGAGTTCAGACATTGTGGATGCAGTGTAAAACTGCAACCATGGTAGCAGACCGTCTACTATCATCCATTTGGGTCCTGGTATGTTTGTAATATCCATCGTATACTCTCCCCTTCTCCAAAAGTTTTTTCCAGTCAAAGTCTTCACCTTCTGAATTATTGACGAGTCGAAGAAGACGACATGTCCACGTCCCCGTACTGTTTTTGTGTTGAAGTCGCAATAATTCAGGTACTCTGCAACGTCATCTTCATACACCTTCCTATAGTCTTCGCCCTTGAGTACTGCTTCGGAAAAGCTGCCATAACGTGCACAGAACCTGTCGAAATTTTCCTCAGTCGCTTCCCAGATGAATGAACCACTGGCAAACGACATCGATTCATATGTATATGGATCCATAAGTTCCGTGACTCAAAGCCTGACAATGATAGAGGCGAATATCCAAAACAGATATTAGAGAGATTAAAGTTGTAGCTAAAAAAAAGCATTACTCTGCACATAGACTAGCAAGTCATGACATCATGAGGCTTTAGAAAAATCCTTAGTCTAGAGGAGAACCTTGGTTCCAGGTTTATCATAGACTAAATACAAGTCACTCTATAGTTGGCGATTCTTACTTGCTTCATCAGAATCAACTAACTACGAATCACCCGATATTCACAACAGATAGAGAACTCTATGCAGATTAACAGAAAACCTTAGGGAACAGGCTTCCCATGGTGTAGCCACCTGAGGTTTCTTTGTAAGGTGATGTATAGTTTGGCAGAACACAAAGATTGCATCAAAACTGGTTGGAATAGATTAAATTTTGCAGATACTTACCTTTCAAGCGATGTCCCGCGAATGCAAAACTCCTTGTAGGTGTTCTTAGATCGATCAGAGACTAGTGATATGTGTAAGCTCTGACATTAGAAGTACTCACCAGAAGCTCCTCCAGAGGTAAGACACTTGAACTAAGACACTTGCTTTAGCTTCAGATATAATCTACATGAGCATTACATTAAATGAACAGATACATTGTATCTAATGGTCGATTCATATGGATTGTATACAATTCTGACTCAAACACTCATCCTTTTATGATTTGACTCAACTGTTTTGCATGACCGTCCATAAAATTTAAGAAAAATTCGAAGAAATTGAGTTTTAAACGAATGAAACAGTTCAAATTTGGTAGGTGATCATGACTAGGATGGAAAAGGACACTTCTTAGTTGAGTAGTTGTTATAACAGATCGACTATGACTAGTACAGAATGATACTTTTCGAATAAATGAACCTGTATTTATGAATTAAATGCAGAATATTCTCCTTGTACTTCAAGCCACAAATTTGAAATGGTATATCTCAACCTTGAGTCTGGGTTTTAAGTTCTAGTAGAAAAGTAATCTTTACGCTCAATTCAGCCTCGGTGGATTGGTGAAGGAACTATATTTACCCCTCCCAATTCTCTTTAAATCGCTACCTCTGTTGGAACATAATCACACACTACATTGTTTTTTTCCTATGTATAAATCACATTTTAAAATTCTATTGACTAGGGCTTTTCATGACGGTCGTGTCATAAAATCACAATCTTCAGTCGCGTGTACTTTGGGTGCAGACACTGATACTTGAGTGAAACTAGAATGGTAGATGGATCTCCCCCTCTTTTCTCAAATCAGAAGAAACAAGAGACAATATGAATACAAGTTCATATTAATGAACTTGATTTCATATAAATGTATCTTTTACAGCCATGTATACCTCCGTATTATGTACTTACAATGTTGACATGTCGATTTTTGAAATATCTTTCCACAAGGGATGAACCATGTTCCTTGAAAACAATTAGCAGATAGGTCTGAGTCTTCAGTCTATCAAGCATGGTCGCCACAATGATAATTTTCAAAAATAAATGATAAAAAATACTAGTGAATAAGCAATTTCTCAACACTCACATATTCTGACCTGTCAGAAGTTCTCTAGATCATTGATGTCTTAAAAATAGAAAGTTAAATTTTCCATGAAATTATGACTCTGCATTGCTATCAAATGATGAAGTCCTTCACTCTTAAAATGAAATGTTAATTAATGGCTAAAATGACAAGAGTGATAGATATACTCAATGGAAAGGTTGACACTTGGGCTGAATTTTGCACTTAGGTATCTAATAAAATAAATCATGTCTTTTTATCTTATTCCAAAAAGAATTTTAGCTTGTCATGCCACAATATTGGTGAAATTTCTTCCAAATAGTTCCAATCAATATTCACAGCTACAAGTAATTTCAATAAAATTCATACCAAAATTTAATTCATATTAACAAGTTTATATCCGCATATAGTTTTTTAACTAAATAGGCATATGGTGTTCTAGATTCATCAAAATCAAGGTTAAAATTTGAATTACTATTGATATGTCTTGAAAATAGTTTCACATCTCTGCAATATAATTTTTATAGAATTTAATTAACACATTCTAATGTTCAACAACAATGTTATAGAATCACATAAAAAACACAAGATTTCAAAATTCACTTCATTCAATTATGTATGTTGCGGAAGCAACTTTCGTATAGAATAGAGATCAAAATTGAGTGTATACCTCAAACCAAAATCAGAACAAGGTTGAAGTAGATTTAGAAGTCAACCAACAAAATATGATTCAGGAAAACAAGAATTGGATACAACAGATGTTGAGAAGAGTGATGTACAATGTCTTGAGACAATTTATATATACTCCAAGCAAATCCAAAGCACCTCTACCAGGATTTCATATCCTTTAAAAAGTTGGCATGATTGTCAAGTCACTATCGATGCTACAAGTACTTTATAGATGTCACATCTCTATGTCAAATCCATGACATCAGCCTCCCTTCAAGCAACAAGTTCCACAAGTTGTTCTATTTATGTTATCAAAAAAATAAAATAAACTATATTACAAAAAGTCTATGTGATAGTTACATGGCTTAAGACCAATGCGTGTTGATGTTGGTTTAAACGTGTTTGATTGAAACATCTTCTAAATTTGGGTTTGTTGGGGATTGACGATGATTTTTTTAAGCATTTTGCAAGCGTTATCAATATTAGCAACAAGTTTTCAAGTTTGCTTGTTTACTGCATACTCTTTTCAATAAACATGATTTTCTGATTTTTTTAAATTGATGCTAGAATTGAAGATCTCATAAACTTCAAATTCTTCTTCCTCATTAATCTGGATTGATGACGGAGATGCTGGCTGCCATCTTGGAACAGTTAATACTGTTCAAACAAGTAAACATGAAACATATGATAAATTTTTGTAGATCATGGCAAATCGAACGTGTATGCTACCTGGTTGTTTTGTTTATTCACAAGAAAAGATCCAAGACAAAAATAATCAAGTTTAATACTAGATTGGAAAGTTTTCAAATTGCAACGCAAAGGAGAGATTTATCTCCAACTAAACTGTTCAAATTTTACTTTTGAAACTTGTCTGCATTTATACTCTAGTGTTATTATAATTTTGTTGAATTTCAAAAATTTGGCGACAAGATCTTGTGCAGCTAGATTTTTTGTTAAACTCAAGTTCAAAAGCTCAAAATGTAGATGATATTCAAACTTTGCAAAAACAAAATTTGATGAAAGAACACTAAAAATGTATTGTTGTAGACAAACTTTACCGCTGAAAATAGATCCCTTCGATTATCTTAGTGGTAGTTCATGGAGCATTTTAAGTACTGCTTCATCACTTGATTCACTTATTAGGTTTATTCAATGAATTTCGAATGATTTAAACATGATAGATTGATTTCTACTTGTAAGATCTTGAATATAAATGTTCATCATTTTGATGTGTATTGTGTATCACAATTAGACATTATGTAGTAAAATATTCTATGATATTTGCACACATTCAAGAAAAATGTGTTGTTTCTTCATCTATGGTAGTTTTGTTGCAAGTCACAAAATGTATCATCTTTGTCAAGCAATTAATTATAATAAATTGAATCAAAACATTTGAACGTTGGAAAGTACACAATAATTTACATGTGTATGAAAGACCATGGCTATTTTGGATGTAGAAATGAATATAATATTCCATATAGACAATGTCAAGGAATTTTGTACAACTGTCACATATTTTCACATTTGTTATCACCAGATGTCTCTTGAAATCAGTTTCATCATCTTGTTGAAGCCAAAATCACATCCTAACAAAAAATTGTATCAAGACTGGAGCATTCAAAGTTGGCATGAGCTTCAATGACATATAGTAATCTTGAGTAGTAGTCCAATCAATCCTCGGAACATTTCATCTCCATGTGAACTATGAACACATGAATAGACAGTAGTTTGATTCAGGAATGTCAAATCAAATGAAGCCAAAAGATCAGATTGTAAACTTACGTTGATTTTTTTTTTGGAAGCTGCATCTACAGAAGTTGTAGTGCGAATGATTTGAGACATAAGTTGTTGAAAATTCAATTAAATTTGATGTTGTTGATTGTATGTTGCATTGTTTTTTTTTTGCGCAAGATAATTTTGTCTTGATAAAGTGTCGGAGTAAATTTATTGCGAATTGAGTCTAAATGTGATGACAAAGTTGAAGCATGATAGCAATGTGCTACAACAAGCTTGTTGTCATTCAACACTTTTGCAGAGATGAAGTATTTGAGGTTTTTGTGATATGTGTGAACAACAATGGGATGTTGATTTACTTCAAGGAAATGTTACCGTTTTTTAATCAAATTGATAATGGCTAAGAGAATCATATAGTGAATCTTGTAGTTGATCTTTGCAACTGTGAATTTTTGCAAATATAAAGCGAGAAGATGAAAAAGTTTGTCTTTATCACATTGTGAGTAAAAAGCTTTAAGAGCAAATTCTCACTTGGTTCTCTCAAAATGTGGTAAAGACAATCACTTCAAGATGGCATTTTTTCAAGTACAACCGGTTTCTTAGAGTCAAGATGGATCAAATAGACCTGGAGATAAATGCCGCCTTCAGAATTTCAAATGCTTGCTATGTTGTCGTATTTCATTCAAGATTGTCTTTGCAAGTGAGGTTTGTTAATGAAGAAGAAATCTTGTAATAATCTCCTATGAAGATTCAACAGAAATTTGCAAAGCCAAGAAAACATTAAACATCTTAAATTGTTGTTGGTTTTTTTCATTTGAGAATCATCTGCATTTTTTTTGAATACATGGATATATACTTGTGGTACCCCACTTTTGGCAATTTTGAGGAAATTAAAACATTTTTGGAAAACTGTACCCTGGCAGCATTGTAAATAGCCTTCGGTACGTCAAAACGGAGTGAATCCGGAAGATCGCGGGGATTCTCGAGGGATCTTGTAGAATCTAGGATTTGGGGTGCAGCAGTAAGGACAGGCACCACCCTCCCTACGAGCTCTGCAGTTAGGACCCCTACGACGCAAGGCGCAAAACCCGCCTTCGGAGGTTGCGTCCGCGTCGGTAGGGAAATCCTTCATAATTAGGTCAACCCTCGGGCGCCTTGACCAAGTTAGGGTCTCGTTGGAAAGAGCTCGACGCACTGATTCCAACGAGTCCAAGAACGCTTGGAACGGATGAGGACTTAGGGAGTTATCACTATTGGAAGATACGGGGACGGTCGCCTTCGGCGGAAGGAGTTCGCCACCGGCGGGAATTCCGCCTACGCGGAAGGAGGAATCAAGTTTTGTCCTATGCGCGGACGAAGGCGTTCGCCTGTGCACAGGCGAAGTAGGGTTTGGGGAGGCGCGAAGTCCGCCTACGCAGAGGCGTTCGCCTGTGCACAGGCGCTTCGGCGTCGGCGGAAAATCCGCCTTGGGCCCTAGAAATGCGCCTTGTGAGGTAGAAAGTGTACGGCGCCTTCCGCGCCAGCGCAGCGCCGCGTACGGCGGAAGAGCCGCCAGAGTAATCAAATCTGTACGGACC